GGGGGGGGGGGGGGGGGGGGGGGGGGGAGAATAGAGAAAATGAGAGAGAACAGCATATGTCAGTAAAAAATGCATTCAAATGCATATCCTCAGTATGGAACATACTTTATCAGCTGATCTGTACAAATGAAGTCTATGGCAACAATATCATGAATGTAAAACCGCTTGAGTTTTCTTTTTTCTCTGTTTTACAAACATCTCAATAACGATTCAATTAGTGATATTATATCATTCATTTAAAACCGTAGGTAATAAGCACTTCCATGCAGCATGAAAGCTCTTAATGGATGAGTTTTAAAACTGGAAAATGTAAAGATGCACAAGGATCGTTTCCTGTGAATGGTATGAGCTTTAGTCGTGTATGTGATATGCTATCTGTGTATCTCACAGCATGCATGAGCTGTTGTTTATGTGATGTATATGTGTTGCTCTGGCTACTGCTGCTGCTCTTCTCTCCCTTGTTTTTTCTCCCCTCCCTTTCTTTCTCACTCTTTAATAATTGAGCTGGTTCTGTCTCTTGTTAGAGTTGGTTCGTTACTGAGAGACACAGAAACCAGCCAGCTATACAGAACCCCTAGATACTCGCTCTCACCTTCTCTCGCACTAACTCCATCATCATCCTTGCTCACAAGTTCTCCGTGTCTAGTGTCTTTCTCTCACACACACACACACAAAAACTGATGCGGATAAACTTAGCAGCCTGCAACCGAATGCCTCCCCCTTCCTCCCTAGACTGAGGAACTGAGGTCAGAGGTGAAAATCACTCCAAAAAAAAAAAAAACAGCTCCAGCCAGCCAGCAGGGAATGAAAAAGTAGATGGAAGACAGCGAAGCTGCTTCCGTGCTAAGTATGTGCAGTGTGCAATATACTAGCTGTAGCCAAGGTCAGCTTGAGTCAATGCTATGTCTCTCAGCTCTGCCAATCAGAGGTTTCCAGCTGTTGTGGGAAACCAAGCTTCCTTTACAGAATAAAGGTTGCCATGGAGACCAGAGCTATAAGACTAGCCAACACTTTCTGACAGGTGGACAAAGTAGGCTAACACATGCACAGACAGTCCCCCCACTCCCTATTCAACCTAGTGTTTCACTTTAGACACAATACAAACTAAAACCTATGTGACCTATAGATATATACACTTTACATATCATTTCAATGTGCATTTAGCATCCTAACGCGTGAGTTTACCTCGTTATCTGTCAGTCTCCATGACAACACACCATATAGCTACAGAAACTAGTAATACATTCCCTCGTCTTTAGAAATATCCGCGTTTCCGCGTTTGGGAAGCAACGTGCGTGTTTTGTTACGTTCCAAGCGTGTGGCGTGAATAATCGCGCCTGTCACAACATAAACATCTTCGCGTCACCGTCGCGCGCACAGCTAGAACCAAAAGACTTACGCCAACGCGCCACTGCATTGCTAATCATTGCCCACTGTCAAACAGAAATAAACAGAATAATTTTTTTTTAATGTCATGACAATGCTGCATAAAATAGATTTTTTACCAACGCGCCACTGCATTGCTAATCATTGCCCACTGTCAAACAGAAATAAACAGAATAATTTTTTTTTTTTAATGTCATGACAATGCTGCATAAAATAGATTTTTTTAATTGAGTTTATATTATATATTAAAATCATGACGTTATTAACATGACTGGAATTTTTTCCTAATACATTACGACAATTAAAAAAAATATATATTTTTTGTTAGTTTTTCTATCTTTTTTGTATCGATGCTTTGGCATTGTGAGTAAAACAATCATGCCAATAAAGTACTTTGAAATTTAAAATTTGACAGACAGAGGCTGAATAATTAGCCAGACTAATCAAAAGTGCAGTCACTGGCGAGCTCCAGGCAGGCGCGTGAGGCTGTTTGTCGTCTCCCCATAATAATAATCACCCAACGCATCAGACGTTCATACATGCCGTCAGTCAACAGCCACTTATGATCACTCATCAGTATTCCACAGTCAATGGGCACTACATTTATGTTTGCCCTGTGTTACAGCGACACATTCACGTCTTAAAATATGTGCATGTCAAACGGTCAATTTTATTTCACATAGGCTATACGAACGAATATTCTTGTGTAGTTTATTTATACATTCTTACATTAAAACGTCTATCGCACACACGTTTTTATTCAACAAAATAATGTGTGTCTGTGATATTTAATAATGTCAATCTACAGCTAGTAATATGTCTGATGTAGCGCGGAATGTAGGTGAGCGTAATCTATGTACCTATGGAGTGTGTGTGTGTGTGTGAATGCGAGTGACCTATCGCGAGCTCAATGAATGGCAGCGATGAGGTTAATAAAAATTCCTTCAATAGAAAACACAAACCCTCGTGAAATGCGGCGCGGCGCAGGGGAAGACTATGCAAATTTTGGCTGTGAAGCCAGACGCGCGCACTCACCGGGAGGCGCCGAGCTCCGCTGCTGCAGCTGTGGTGCTGCGCTCCTCACGCGCTCATCAGGCTTCTCGCGACTGGATCACAGAGCGCTCGGTGACATGCAACATCCTAAAAGCAGAGGTGTCTGTGTGAAAAAAACAACTATGTATGAATGTCGGAGGCTTTGGTCATCTCGATCCTCTTCTGTCTTGCGACGCCAAACAGTCTGTTCAGCATCTGTTTGTTTTTTGTTTGTTTAAAAAAAGAAAAAAAGAAACCAGAACAAAACGCACAAAAAATATTTGCAGGGAGAACAAGGGAGAACTCGCGTATTGTTGTCACCACGTCGGATAAAAAAAATGTGAAATTGTAGTAACAGAGTACCGCAGTTTGTCACAGGAGCGCCCCGGGAGTGCAGCGAGCGCGAGAAATTGGAATGAGCGCCGTTCTGCGCCGTTTCTCGCCCTCTGCAAACCAACTCGGAGGAATCTAGTCAGAGAGGGCTGTAGACGTGCCTTGTCGACGGGGGCATCCGGGCCTCCGTAGATTCTTGTCTAGATTTTTTTCCTCCTCTGGTGGACTCTGGGTACTGAAGTTCTGCTCATCGTGACTTCATTCATTCTCTCTTCTCCCTCTCTCTCAGTGTGCGTATGGGTTGCATCAAATATATAATAACCAGACAGTGCGACGGGGCTCTGAAGAAATGCCATTAGATCTGCATACGTGACACAAATGATTTTCATATTGCACATTAGGCTACATTAAGGATCCGCAAGTGATCTTGTTCAGATCAGAGAGGAAGTTTCCTCAAAATGAGAGATGTCACTAGACTAGCACCACTTCGAATGCTTCATTCACTCAAAAAATGTAAATTCTGCCAGGATTTACTCCCCCTCATGTCGAACCAAACCTGCATGACTATGAACACGAAATTGATATTTTGAAGAATGTTGGTAATCCGTTTTGGGCTTACATTGTATGACCAAAAATAAATTTCTGGATGGTCAAAATGAGAAAAAGAGGGTGAGCAAATTATGACAGAATTTGCATATTTTGCATACACTATCCCTTTAAGAAAGTACATATGAACTCATTCGTTCACTCAGAAAGCCCATGATGGCAAGTATATAAGGATGGAGATACTCTTCCATGACTGTGATCATGTAGCCATAGAGCCTTAAAAACCTTTTAAAGGAATAGCACATCCAAAAATGAATCACATCAGCCTCATGTTGTTTCAAACCTGTATGACTTTCTTTCTTCCATGGAACACAAAAGAAGGCAAAATGACAGACTCAGTCATTCATTCACTTTCATTGTAAAGGTACAATAAAAGTGAAGAGTGACTGAGGCTGTCAGCCACTAACATTATGCCAAACATTCTATTGTGTCCCATGGAATAAAGAAAGTCATACAGGTTTGGCACAACATGAGGCGATTCATTTTTGAGTGGACTATCTCTTTAAAAACGGAATGATGTCCTATAATGATGGGACACAATATTTAACGTCCTTGATATGAACCGTGGGCCCTGAATAATATAATAGCTGAATCTATTAGAGATCTAGACATTGTCAAAAATCACAGTCCAATAGTGTCTCTGCTCTGCCCTCCAGTAAACAAATTTTCTTTCATAGTCCAAGCTCTTTCAACATTCCCTTTACCATTTAAAAAATTGGACTTGGGAGAAATGTATATATTCTTTGGCTGTCCTAATACAGACTGCACTAATATCACACTGTGACTAATTGCAGTTTTATTTGATTGCATTGATGTATTCAGTTGGGCTGTTCCTACAGCACCCAATAGGCCCACAGAGAACTCTTTTGTTTTGATTATAGCATTATATAGGCTCATACACAATGATAGTAGTATACAGGTTAGGGAAAATGAGCTTCATATGTTGATTTTTTTTTTTACATTTGGTACCTCACTATAAAACGGGGGTAGATTAAAACAGACAGTTTAAAAGTGTCTGTGTGCAAATAAAATTTCATACAAAAAAAAAAAAGAGATCATTAAATCACTTTGGGAAGAAGTGTTTGCTTAATAGATGTGTATTCTAAATAAAGAATAAACATCCAGAAATCTAAAAACGCAGACTGCAAGAACGTATTCAGCTCAAAACAAAGTCAACCTACATTAATCTGCATATCTGAAGCTACACAGCTGTTAAGTTCCTGCTCCACCACCTATATTCCTTTTTTTGTTACATCTGATTTTTATAAACAGACGAATGCTGAAATGTGCTAGAAATTAATCAACACACATCCCCAGGGCTGCAGAGGAACACGCTACCCTGCTGCAGCAAAATGTAGATGCAACAAGCGGTTTAATTTATAAACGTAAAACTCAAATCTGCAGCAAGAACAAAGTGCCAGCTCAGTGCAGGTATGAATGTACCATCATGACTACAAACCCCAGCAGGATAATTAATAAACCAATACAGCATACTAAAAACCCTGCACATCTCCCAGTCTCTACATTACGGTTCTTCTGCCATCTTGTGGACAGCAAACTGGAGAGCATATGAATGCAGCCGTGAGCAATTGAGCGTTTGTCTCGGTCTTTGAAGCACACTTTATTTGAGATTCTTCACAGCAGATTTTGGATTTGCCTGTTGCATCATTGATTCTGATTATTACTGAAGCTGCTTTAAAACCATCTATATTTTATAAAGACTACATAAAGCACTATACAAGTAAAGGTGAGCGCATTCTGCAAGAGTGTATGATGTGCATGCAGAGTAAAAGAAACTTGTTAGTTGTTAGTTGAACTTGTTCAGTTCAGTAAGCTCAGTATAATAAAATGGCACAAACAATTACATAACTGTAATACACATTCTTCAGTTCAGGGTTACAGTCTATCCCTGTAGAATATCACTGGCCCTGAATAAAGGCACAGGCTTGATATCCACTTAAATTATAATCCAAATCATTGAGATATGATGTAAAATGTAAAATACAGTGTAAAATGCTGGAAACAAAAAAAAAAAAAAAACAGTTTTTCTTCTCATTTTAAAAGACAGCTCTGAATGACTTTTTTTTCTGAATGTCAATACTGTGTCTTTAAATCTACAATAAAGCCCACTATTATACAACAGAATTGATCTTTAATATGATAATACAAGATTGTTAGCTTCAAAGTTAAACTTAAAAGTTAAACAAAAAGGATTATTATAAAGCAATAACACGACTAGCTAAGAGAACACGGCCTAAAGAAACAAATGCAACCTGCATCCTCTTCAGCTGTGCATTGAGACACATACTCTGATAATTCAAGATTTCATTTTTGGCTTCAGAATATCAAGACCATTGCATTCAATTTACTTTTGCCAGACAAAAAAGAAAGACTGAATTGTTACATTCAAAAATGCACATTCGGAAGCTGACTCGCATGTAAAAAAAAAAAAAAAAAAGTTTGTGTAGCCTTGCTCTTGAGCTGGAAGAGCTTTCTCTGTGATTGGAGTTTAGACCTGTATATCACATTAATCACAAAACATACCACCAATTAGATAGGTCTGTAAAAAAAAAAAATCGCAGTTATCCAGGTCACTATTGAATGTCTAGTAGAGATTTTCTGTTCCACCTGTATATCAGAGCAAAATGTTCTGTTGGCTAGAATAACTTCACTTAGGCACCCATTAGAAATGACTTGAATAGTCTACAAGTGACAGAACATACAAATACAGTGGTGGATATAGTAATATGATTGAATAGGTAACTAATTGCTATTGCTTAACGGAGAGATGAAGTATTAATATGCTGTATAATATGTGCTGTTGTATTTTAAGTTAAAGAACCAATATTAACATTGACCACTGTATTAGTTCAGACTTAAGTGACCCAGTCTTGCTGTTTGAGAGCACGAAAGTTTTTTTTAATTTGAAGCACGGAATGAGAAGCTGGACTAAAGCATGCTCAATTGGAGCTTGTGATTGCAGGGCCATGGATCAAAATCAGTTTATGGAGGTACTGTGATAGAAAGTAAAGGCAATAGCATCTTTCCTGAAGGATATATTGAGCTAATGCACTTAGGTGTATATGCGTCTATCACAGGTTTTCTCCAGGCTGGTACTGGGGTTCAGTAGCAGTAAAGTAGTCCTCCAGGAAGCTCTGCAGGTACTCAAAGGTGTGCCTCTCGTCAGGATCCTTCCGCCAGCACTGCAGCATCAACTCATGCAGAGATGCTGGGCAGCCCTGCGGACACGGCATTCGATATCCACGCTCAACCTGCTCCAGAACCTCTCTGTTGTTCATCCCTATGCAAATTCATACACAGAGAAATAAAAATAAACATATTTGTACTGCAACAGGTGATCCACATGACCCTTTCCATTAAAATGATAAAAAAAAATCATAAAATAAACTTTTTATTATGTTTTATTATTCATATTGTTTTATGATTCAACAAATGAAAGTGCTTTCAAAGAAATTATGTGCTTAACATACAGAAAATGTTGACTGTCAATCACTAAAGGTCAAACTAAGTATTAATAACATTTTTTATTAATTTTGTTTTTTTTATTTTATCTTGTCAAACAGTGTGAAATTAGCTTAAATTATTATTAAAAACATTTAAAAATGAAATAAAATTCCAGTTTTACGTAAAATATTTTAATAAAATTATGTAAAGTGAAATAGTCAAAATATTTTAAAAGGCTTTAATTACTATTAATACATTCTTTCTCACAATTCTAAGTTTATATCTGTGTACAACAGAAAGAATCATACAGACAGTGTGAATAAAAGTGTAGTCATAGTGGTTCAACGAGGACACACCTGGGTAAGGCACTCTGCCCTTGGTGATGAGCTCAGTCAACAGAATACCAAAAGACCACACATCTGATTTGATGGTAAATTTACCATAAAGCGCAGCCTCTGGGGCAGTCCACTTTATCGGAAACTTTGCTCCTATAATACGATAATCAAGACAATTAGTTCAGCACATTTAACAATGATTTATAAAAATGACAGATCAAATAGAAAGTGCTGAACCGAAGTACTGAGATATAGCAGCCCAAAATAGAGTAATGAAAGATGAAAACTGTAGTGCTGTAAAATGAAAATTAGAACAAAATGAGCTGGAATGAAACTGAGGCCAAGGAAGAGATAAATAATATTTGATAATATCAAATAAAGGAGGTAGTAGATTAAGATCAAGTTTGGATCTTAGATTGTGAATGACCTTGTCTAGCTGTGTACTCATTGTCCTCGATGAGTCTAGCTAGCCCAAAGTCTGCAATCTTACAGACCAGACCTTCTCCAACCAGGATATTGGCAGCTCGCAGGTCTCTGTGGATGTAGTTCATCCGTTCAATATAGGCCATGCCTGCAGCAATCTAGAAGAAACAAAAGCACTTTCATCACAATACTAAGAAGGGAGATTGCTATTAGTTTTAATAAAGACATGCTCTCAAGATGCTTCTTAGCGCTTATCTGAAGGATTGGCACATTTGTTTAAGTGTCTTATTTCTTCTATGGTTCAAAGGTTTAAGGGTGATTGACCCTGTGCAGAACGGCTGTGTAATGTAGTTCTCTTATAACCAGTTGTGTACATTTTATGCTAATATAAATCCTGCAGGTTGAATCTTTAACCAATCCAGGATCTGAAGATCTACTGTAGCCTTGATCCTGATATATTACCATTTATAGAGATGGGAATGATTCTGCTTACACTGAATATTTTTGATTCACTAAAAACAACTGACTGAAGAGTCATTCATTCGCGAATCAAACTACACAGGTCAAGCGGTTTGTTTTTGATTTTCCAATATGACTCAGGAAAATGTTCAGGAATTCAGATTACTGGTCCCATTGTATTTTATTTTATTTTTTAGATTCACTAGACAGAACACCAGCTCATAAGATTAATTGGTTCAGGAATTGTTCTAAATAAGAAATGGTCCTTGGCTCCAACCTTAACCATTTAACGTTTCTGGAGGATTTTCCCAGTAATGTAATAATGTATTTTATTTTATTTTTTAGATTCACTAGACAGAACACCAGCTCATAAGATTAATTGGTTCAGGAATTGTTCTAAATAAGAAATGGTCCTTGGCTCCAACCTTAACCATTTAACGTTTCTGGAGGATTTTCCCAGTAATGTATAATAAACATTTGCTAGACATTTGTTGACTAAGAAGCTTTACCTGAGCTGCCATATCCACAAGTTGGGGCAATTTTAGATTTCTGCCATCTCCATCTTTCAAGAAGTCCAACAAGCTTCCTAAATCACAGAACAATCAAGGCAAAAATTGATATGTACCTTTATATAAATTAAATTATTTAAATTATTTTTGTAATATTTATATAAATAGAAACATACATTATTATTCAATAGTTTGGGGTCAGCAAGTTTTAAATAAAATTAAGTTTTAAATAAATTAAAACTTTTATTTAGCAAGGATGCATTAAATTGATCATAAGTGACAGTAAAGACATTTATAATTCTATTTCAAATAAATGCTGTTCTTTTTATCTTTCTATCAATCAAAGAACCCTGAATAAATGTATCACGGTTTCCACAAAAATATTAAGCATCTAAAACGGTTTTTAACTTTGATAAGAATAAATATTTCTTGAACACCAAATCAGAATATTAGAATTATATCTGAAGGATCACGTGGCACTGAAGACTGGAGTAATGGCTGCTGAAAATTCAGCTTTGCCATCTCAGGCATAAATTACATTTTTAAATATATTCAAATAGACAATAATATTTCACAAAATTAATTACTGTTTTTGCTGTATTTTTGATTAAAGTAAATGCAGCCTTGGTGAGCATAAGAGACTTCTTTCAAAAAACATTTTACTACAAACAACAGACGACATTCTCATTATTGTCCATACCTTGACTCATGAACTCAGTGATGATGTAGATGGGCTCCTCAGACACCACAGCATACAGCTGTACCAGTTTATCATGACGGAGCCTCTTCATGATCTGGGCCTCATCCAGGAAGGCCTCTGGAGACATGGTGCCTGGCTTCAGGGTCTTCACTGCAACTTTAGTTGTGCCATTCCACATGCCTATACATAGAAATGGTGTCAGACACAGTTGGAAGAGCCATTTGAACATGGCAAAGTTTAAGGGATGAAAGAAGGAGATAAAGAGAAACAGATGGAATATGGCCACACACCAAAGCAACAGGAAGCTGGGATTGTTGCAGACAACACAATACTCAGCTCCTGGGAAAGAGCTGAACTTTGATTTTTTTTAAATTTATTTATTTATGCTACTGTGCTATTGCATTTTTAATGTCACAATGACCATCAACACAGTGCTAAAATGCTATTGAGGTTTAGCTGACGTAGTGCTATATTGGGGATTAGCTGATCCATAGTCAGATGCTTGGCAAAGCAGGGTCAATCTCAGCATTTGTGCTTTAAGCATTTGAGATGTTCAGCCCACAAAAGGACACCTTTTCATATTCTCTTGTCATTATGACTGCACTGACCAAATTATAGAAAACAAACGGATTAAAACAGACATAGGAAAACATGCTAAAGTGGCGAAGAAGGCTGGTGCGTCCTTTGGAAACACTGGCTGTAGCATTAGCAAATGCTGACATGAACATCCACACTGGGTATCATCGTATCCCTCTCACCCATCCAGACGTCGCCAAAACAACCCTGACCCAACTTCCTGTTGAGCTGCAATGTTTCCCGGGCGATCTCCCAGGCATCCCGTCCTAAACCCATCGTTTGGGGCGTGGCATTTGGACAGGCTTTAGTCAAGTAGCAACATAAACCATCATTACTACCTGTTGAGGGTGTTGAAAGAGAGAAAGAGTGGGGAGGGAACAGGGTGGCATGCAATGTTAGAAGGACCAGAGGGAGAGAACAAAAACAGCACAGCTTTACGTTATTTCCCTGACCTCCATTCTTTCATCTTCAGCGCCTTGCAAAATAGTTTGGACCTCTTTTCACAATTTACTACAATGGAAGTCTTCCAAAACATTTTAATTGTAAAATTATTAGAATGTTTCTTTTTTTTACAGAAATAGACAGACAATTGCCTTATAATGAGAGAATCATTTTTTTACCCTCTTGTGACTTTCTTTCTTCTGTGGAACATAAAAGAAGACATTTTAATTTTTTTCATACCAATCCATACAATATAAGTCAATGGTAACCAAAACTTTTGTGTTTCACAGGAGAAATAAAGTCGACATGAGGGCAAGTAAATGATGACAGAATTAGATTTTTTTGGATGAACTATCTCTTTAAGACATTTAATATAATTGCAAGGCTTTGTACCACAGGCAGGGTGGGCAAGGTGTGCAAGGTTTGTTCCCTCCTTCCTGCAACATGTTCCCATGATTTTTGTGGTTCCTACCCATCCACACTTCACCAAACTGGCCATTGCCCAGTTTCTTAATGAGCTGAAGTGACTCCCTGGGAATCTCCCAAACATCCTTTGTCTTCACTGACAGGTCAGCCAGCTTAGGCATGCCCCGCCTACAGCTGCCAATCAAACGGCAGCACAGCCCTGCTGCACGCTCTAAAGAACAGAGTAAGGAAAAAGAAAGACACGGATAGAAACGAGAGAAGACAGAGATGCAAAGAAGACACAAACAGCAGGCTATATAAAACAAACATTTACACATACACAAAATGCTGCCCAAATCAGATTAAAGAAGCACTCTCAAGCAAACATATGCATAAAAAACTGGAATGATACATGTTCACTCAGCAGAGGGCGACAGAGATCACTGACAGTCAACAGCTGTAGCATGTCAGATATCACCACTGTTGCGTGGTGTTGAGTCATGCTAAAGGATGTTAAATGTTAAGTATTATTTTATAGTAAGAATTACAATTCTATGAAATATAATAATAATAATATTAATTACTATTATAGTATAAAGACCCAATGGATTAATCAACTCATATCAACCCTGATTGTGTTGTCATCAATTTGTGATGGTGTTTTTACTGTCTCACACTACACTACTGTTCGAAAGTGTGGTTCAGTAAGATTTTTTTATGTCTTTAAAAGAAGTCTCACCAAGGCTGCATTTATTTGATCACAAATACAGTGAAACCGTAATATTGTAAAATATTATTATAGAATATATTTTAAAATGTAATTTATTCCTGTAGTGGCAAAGCTGAATTTTCAGCTGCTATTACTCCAGTTTTCAGTGTCACATGATCCTTCAGAAATCATTCTAATATACTGATTTGGTGCTCAAGAAACCGTGATACATTTTTCAGAATTATTTGATGAACAGAAAGTTCAAAAGAACAGCATTTATTTGAAACATCAATATTTTGAAACATCATAAATGTCTTTACTGTCACTTTTGTTCAATCCAGTGTGGCTTACTGACCACAAACTTACGAACGGTAATGTACATCAGTGTATGCTAGTGTTCAGTCTAACTTATTAGCTAGCAATCAGCACTACTCCAGTTCATTTCAAATAAAGCATCAGTCTGGTAAAATTTAGATTTGTAAATGTGGGGAATTACATATTTACATTAGTACAAACTAAGGAAAAATATTTAGCACTTAAAACTGAAAGTAACTGTTCTGCGGTAATGGTTTGCCCCGTATTTGGAGTGGTAGGTGGCCCAATTTTAGTTTTACTGATGAAGTGGTCTATCTGAGAAGAACCTCTGTCTATTCATGAGAGTATATGTGCATGTAGGGGTGTGTGACTGACTAGATTCAACAATAACAGTGAAACAGGAAGGCTGATAGCACCAGACTGACAGTTTGAGTAGGAGGATCACTAACAGAACTGATACAAATTATGCACTCGGCCGAAGCAGAGAAGTCATTTGGGTGACAAAAGAGGAAATGAAGACGGACAAAGATAAACTGACCTGCTGATAACTTTATTCGCAGTAAATATCAATACGCCACATAAAGAGCCAATAAACAATGCTTCGTTCTGAAGAAATTCTAAAACCTATATATAAAAAAAACTTTCAAGTGTACTGTCATGCATTTTTAAATCACAGTATGTTAAGGGTTAGGTTTACATGTATTGCACCGACCTGTATAATGCTCCACCAGCTCCTGGACGGTATCAAACTGTGTCCTTGTTGTGATGTAATAACCACCATTGTCCAGCTTCCTAATTTTATAATGCTTGACATGATCGCCCTTTGCATCATCCCAGTCTCTGATAGACAAAGAGTATGCTCCTAAAGAGGGGCGAAAAGACACTCTCAAATATTTGAATTTGTTGGTGAGAAATTAAATGGATTTAAAACGAATTTTATTAATAAAAATATCAGAAATCTCTTTTCAGTCAGCACCAAACAACTGCAATGGCATTTAGTTATTGTTGTGTCATCTTGTCTCAACTTCTGGTTCAGGGCTTCTATTGAATGTGCAGAACCTCCATTATTCTACAGTAATGAGCACCATTATCGTACTGGATCTCAACAAATTTTTTCCAGCTTTCCTTGCATGTTCCTTATTGTTGTATGGAATGACACTGTAAGAGAAATTATGTATACTAGACGTTTTTCTACACACTAATTGTAGGCTATCAGTGTTAATTCATGGGATTAATTAAACGTATTCAACAGTTCATTTTAAAACACTGTTGACACTTTCATTTACTGTTCAAAAGTTGGGGTTGGCAAGTTCTTTTTAAAGATTGCTTTTGAAAGAATTCTCTTATTTGATCAAAAATACAGTAAAAACAGCAACATTGTGAAACATTATTACAATTGAATATAGCTGTTATCTATTTAAATATATTTTTAAATGATTAATTATATTAAATTATTCTCTTTTGAATATAAAGTTCAAAAGAACAGCATTTATTTGAAACAGAAATCTTTTGTAACAATGTAAAAAGTCTGTACTGTTACTTTTGATCAATTTAATATATCCTTGCTGATTAACAGCAATAGCTACAAAAATTGATTAATCACAATACTAAATATTACACATATGATTTGATTTTAGAGTCTCTACAGAGCACAAAATGTAAATACACACTACCAGTCAAAAGTTTTTGAACAGTAAGATTTTTAAGATTAAGATGCTACATCTTAAGATTTTAAATAACTCTCTTCTGCTCACCAAGCCTGCATTTATTTGATCCAAAATACAGCTAATTTATTCCTGTAATTTCAAAGCTGATTTTTCAGCAGTCATTACTCCAGTCTTCAGTGTCACATGATCCTTCAGAAATCATTCTAATATGCTGATTTGCAGCTCAAAAAAACATTTTTCATATCATTATTATCATCATCATATTATTATTATTATGTTGAAAACAGTAGAATTTTTTCAGGTTTCTTTGATGAATATAAGAACAGCATTTATCTGAAATAGACATCTTTTTGTAACATTATAAATGTCTTTATCATCATTTTGATCTTTGGATCTTTGCATTCAACAAAGAATCCTGAAAAAAAAAATTACTCAACTGTTTTAAATATTAATAATAACAATAATTATAATAAATGTTTTCGGAGCAGCAAATAAGAATATTAGAATGATTTCTGAAGAACCATGTGGCACTGAAGACATGAGTAATGATGCTAAAAAAATCAGCTTTGAAATCACAGGAATAAATAACATTTTAAAATATATTCAAATAGAAAGCAGTTATTTTTAATAGTACAAATATTTCACAATATTATGGCTTTTGCTGTATTTTGGATCATAAATACAGGCATGATGAGCAGAAGAGAATACAAAAAAAAACATAAAAAAATCTTTTCACTGAAAGTGTATATACTGATAAATGAACTTTAAAATCGTTTACCTTTTGTTGTCTCGCTCTCTCGTATTAAGAATGTCCCTCTAGGATTGTTCTGCGGTAACAACTGTCGTTCTGCATCCTTCCGGCCCATCTTCCCAAAATACCACCTGCATGGACAAACACCAATAATGTACTTTAAAACTTGCATATAATGTCATTGCAAATTGCTGAAATGGCATGTTCACATGTAACTCACTCCTCAGCTTGTATGGAGTCCACAGGGGCCACATAGTTACTAGGAATGTACCCAGACTTCCCTGTGTCCAGAGAACGAGCCTCCCACCAGTCACCCTCGCTGTAGAGGGACAGGGGACAGAGAAAGACATATCAAAAAGTGGTATAAACAGATGAGGAGAAAGGAAATGAGAAAGAAAGAGGGACAAGGAGAACAACAGAGAGAGAGAGAAGTAAGACAAAAAAGGAAGATATGCCTGGTATTTGTGGTTTATTTGTGGTTTTAAAAGACTGTAAATCTTATTCTAACTGTCCTGCTTTGAACTCACGTATTGTTGATAATATGGAACTTTTCTCCTTTCTGGAAGCTCAGGTCATCCTCTGTACGGGCTTCATAGTCATAAAGGGCTATAAAGAGCGTTACACCACCTCCTGAACAAACACGCAAAAAATATCTGGTTTCAGTAAGGGAAGTAAACAACACTGAAAATCACATCTCAACACACACTTTTACACACCTGTGATGGGGGCTGGGCGGGATGGGTTGAGAGTGGATGAGGGAGCAGAGTTTGGATAATCATTAAAGTTTGGGATCATCCCAGAGTTAAAAGTGGGATCGATGATGTAACGGGAGGGTTCTGATGCCTGGGTCCCATTGCCTGTGTCCCACGAGTTGGGATTCGACACAGCTTTACTGGCCTTCCTCTGCTTACAGCAAGCACAGCCCATAATATTCAATATTTTTAAAGCACACAGCTCATCACCCTGGAAACAGAGTTTCTTCCCACAGAAACAAGATAAAGAGGAAATAATTAGATACAGTAATATTGAGTAAGTTACTAGATATTTAATGCAATGACATTGGTTTTAAGGTATAGCTTAACATAGGATTGCACAATTTTTAGAAAAAAATCGTATTGTGTTTTTCCTGAAAAAGAATTTGATTGCGATTAAAAATGTGATTTAAAAAAAGCTCCAAGTTTGCTGTGCTTGTTTGTAGGGCTGCATAATTTGACCCAAAAAGCTGTGATTACATATCAATAATAATAATAATTATTATTAAAAATTTAGTATTTTATAATAATAATAATAATTTCAATAATAACTGTAAAATAGCAGGTTTATAAGCATTTCTCACAACAAGTTTAGGAAGGTGGTTGGTGCATACATGCAGAGAAGTTTGTGTGGATCAACATTTACTCCAAACCAAACCTCTGAGACACCAAAGAAACACTGGATCATGAGCTGCTTGCATGTAAAACAACACTCGAAAACACAGAGCACATGTATTTATTTAATTTGCGATTTGATAACCATACTAAGTCATAGCATGATTTCAGTGAAGCCCTAGCCTGAGTGTACAAATTGATTTGGGGGTCTCTGTATGATAATGATGTTGTTTATGGTATGTCATGGCATGAGTTTGTCAATGTTGAGAAGGTTTTCTACTATGTTTCTCTCAGCTGTCGGTGTGTAAATGTAATGAATGAACTGTGGTAGTGTACGTCAATGTAATCAGATTCGGCTCTCACCAGATCCTCACATCAGCTTTCCATACACACCATCTTCCTGGGGAGAAAGAGAAAGAAGGAGAGAGCAAGAAAAAGAAACACACAATGCATTTATATAAGTAACAGATTGTAAGAAATTGAAATTACTTTATATTTTGTAACTTAACACTTTTTTGCATTACTTCCTCTTTCTTTCCTGTCTAGAGAAAGGGAAGTTCTCAGTTAAAATTCCCCTTGAAAATGTACGTGTGTGTGCAAAGTCCACTCTTTAACTGTATAAAGCGGTTTCTATCTGACTGACCATCAGTGGATCAACAGGATGCCAGTTTTGCGAGCGTTTCCTGTCCGGCCCACTAAAGCCTCCCCCCTCATTTCCTGCTGAGAGGGGAGAGGGTCCAGCTGCAAACGGGCAACACATTAACAGCACATAACGCTCCATCCCTCATACAATCTGCCCAATCTATGCTTTTCTCTCTACCTCATGAAAATATTTCAAACTTACTCGAAGATACACATAAACATCCAATCAGAAGATATTACAGTGCAGACACACACACTTGCAAATGTGACAGACATCATGCTTAACAAATCAACAATCACAAGCTTTTCTTTTCAATAGGTGTGCATCATTTTTGCTGGAGAAAACAATACAGAACTGTTCAACACCCATGCTTATTGTTTCCATTTTTATCATGTCTCTTCAAGAATTTCCCATGATTGCACACACCTGTTGTCCCATTCATATCTTCAGCCTATCTATTTGCAGAATTACAATGAATAAACTATAAATAATGATAAAGAACACATCAAATAAAAACAACGGCTTGTGTTCATATCTTATTTTCTGTTCAGATAATCATTTGTAATTCTATCTGCACTGATGCAAGTCTAGAAATAGAAAAAGTGAGTACTGAAAAAGTCCTGACTGATTTTTAAATTCAATACTTGTTGGAAAGGACTGAACAAATAATGGTCTCATTAAACAGCTGACCACAAAAGAGAACAGCTGTTGACACAAGTGAATAAAAGCAAATCACTATATATGTGTAAATAATGAAAAGCAGCTCCTGTTTATAGAGTTTTCTCTAGGTTTTGAGAACTGGAAATACAGGGAGAGCAGGCTGGGGGAGAGAAACGAGGAAACTTTCTGAGACTACATCAAGTGCAGAAAAAAAAATCATAATATGCTAAGTGTCACGAATTCGGTCCATGGACTTCCGTTTATTCACCACCAGAGGTCCCCCTCTCCATTACATTGACTCTCGCACAACACAAACTGTTGCATACCACCCTGGACTACATATCCCAACATTCTTTGCACGATTTGCACACTGCACTGATTGGACACAGCTGTTTCTAATCACCTCACTCACTATATAACACCCACTCTAACCACCTTTCTCTGCTGAGTATTGTTTAGCCTGTACCCCTTTCCAAGTCTCTGTGTTTTCCTTGTTTTTTCCCTCGCGTCTCGCCCCTGTGATTCTGTCTGCCGATCTGTGACCTACGCTAGCCCTAGGACTATTCTTGTGTTTTTGCCCGCCATATACCTGTTTGCCATTGTTCGACCCTGCCTGTTATACCACGTCTCTTTAATAAAAGCTTGCAGATGGATCCACACGTCTCACGTCTCGTCAGCCCCGTCACACTAAGTGTGTCAATTTTGCCATCAAGCTAAGCTTAAAATAACTTTTTGATTGGTTTCTACATCTATAAGCCAAATAAACTATAGAGATGCACTTTATGGTGAACACTTTCATCCTTTTTTTTTTTTGTTGGTCTACTCAGAGTTCAGGAGATTTAATGAAGTTCTAATTTGTCTTAAGTGTCAACGTGGTCTCTGCTAAAATTCACAAATAACAAACAATCAAGTCATTGTACTTAAGAGTATAGAGCGATGAAATACATGTCAGTTTTTTAACTGAATTATGTTTGCGCCATCAACCTGACTACACTCTCAGAAAAATTGTGCAAAAAACCAGCTTGTCACCAGGGCAGTACTCTTCAAAGGATATCTTTGTATCTTATGTACCCCTAAAAGGTTCAAAGAAATAATTAAGGGTGTATTACTACTCTAACCCTCTGATGCATCGTGGTCACTACAGTGGACAGCTATTTGGAAGCCATTTTGAACCATTTAAGATGTAGCATCATGTCCCAACCACCAACTGGCGAACCCCCAAAGTGTTGTCTATGATTCCATTTAATTGTCTTTTTATCAAATTTTTTTTTTGAGATATTGCATAATATATTCAAAATGGCAGCAGGAAAAGGGGATGCACCATGTACCTCGGCAATAAGTGTTAAATAATATTATTCTCAGAAAACCAGACAGGTACAAAAATAATTTTTCTGTTAAATAGGATGTCAGAAATAGTTTCATCCAGATTTTAACAATATTTTTCTTGTCAATTTTTTGCTGTGACAGAAAATAAACCTGTCCACTACAGTAGACGTCATGCACCAAAGGGTATAATTCTGCCTATGGGCCTTTGTAACGTAGTTTGTAGATCGGGAAGAAGGAGGTGGGAATCGGCGAACACTCAAAGAAAACTTTAATAATAAAATAAACACAAAATAGCACGACAGCCCCTCGCGGACGACTGCTGCGCACAAACGAAACCAAAACACAAAATAAACTCCAGGCCTGGTCCTCTCTCGTCTTTCACTGTCGTCACTCCTCCTTTTTATCCTTCCGGAGCTCCTCCGTGGGACTCGAGACCGGTGAGTGGTGCAGGTGTCGCCCATTATCAATTACTCCACCGGCCTCGCTCCGTTCCCACGGCTCTCGGCCCCGCCCCTCTCTATAGAGGTTGTGCCTTATTTTGTATGTTTTATTAAAATTATGATATAATTTACACTTGAATGGTTTTACTGAACAGAAATATTAAATAGTCTTCAGATTTGATCATTTATTTCAATGCTTACAGTCTATATTTATTTATTAGGTCATATAAAACTGTAGGCATGCATACATGTATACTGTATGAGTGCAGACATGTGTGCATGATTGTGTTCGAGTGTGTGGTGGGAGGGTGTGTGTGCTTGTGTGCGTTTGCATTTGTGCTCACATGTGTATGAATAGCCCACCACCCCCACCACCAACCCACACTTCCCCACACAGCCCCACACACCCCTGGCCCATAGACACACACTCTTACATTTTATTTGTTACACTTCACATTTCTGTGCCGTCATGACATAGCTTGATGTTATTGAATGTTCTTATGTGTATTCATACCATTTTCACGTAGTAAATATTTTAAAGACGTGTTTTTTAAGACCACCCATTAAGTTCTATTGATTTACTTTTTATACGTTTGATTCATGGTGTCCACTACAGTGGACAGATATGTAACTCCCTCAAAATATAATATATTGACAAAAAAAATTTTGGCCATGATTTTTCACTTGTTTAAAAGTAAAAACAACCATGTAAAAAAAATATTACTTTGTGATTTAATCATTCATTCATCAGAGGGCTAAGGTACTAATATATCCATTTTAGGGGTAGATAAAGTATACAGTAGATGTTCCTTTAAGGCTATTACCCCAGTGTCAAGCTGTTGTACCCCTGAAGGTACAATTTCAGCAAAATTTTTCTGACAGCATACCACTGTGAGTACTAGCGGTAGCGGTTTGCCACAGTAGCTAGGTAAAGGTTTAAGAGAACCCATTGCCTTATTGAAGCATTTCTCTCTTCACCATCATATCTCAAACAGAATGGTACTTGCGCTTATCTGTCGCAAATGCATAATAACAGATGAGAAGAATGCAATATGCTCTCCAAAGGCCGAGACAAGCAGCTACATAATGCACAATAATGAGTGCAAGATGGAGCATGAAAATATGCAAATTATGTGTCATCAATAGGTTAGTGAGTTTGGTTTCATTCCAACTGGAAACTGCACTAAAGGTCACATGAACCATACCTAGATTTTATAATCATCACTTTTTTAACAAACTGAACTGAAGTCAAATGGACATGGCTCTGCACCAAAAGCTTTAGTGTGAAGCTGGCCTTCATTGCAAACGTGGGTATGTTCTGAGCCCAGATGTTGTTAAGTTCTCTTCTAAATACACATTAGATTACTGGGGTCTTTTTCTCAGGAGAAATATTTGAGAAGCAGGAGACTTTAGCCAAAGTCTCAACTTACACTCTGTTTGAGCTCTGTGCTGTTTAGGAGAAACAATCAAGATTTAAAAAAAAAGAGGAAGCCAAATGACACATCTCTTCTCTTGTTAAACGATTCACTCTTTTCAATGGAAGCCTTTTTAACAGAAGAGATGAGATGAGTCTACTTTCAGTGTTTAAATATATTCTGGACCAGAGAACACAGAAACCACTTTTTTCTAAAAGAGGTTTGATACGTACACATGCATTAGCATCACCACTCACACGCCAACTAAAAGAAAAAAAAAGTAATGTGACAGTCTTGTTATCCAACAAATAATAGAATGGAAATAGAAAATAAAAAATAGAAAATAGAATTGGAAGGTTATGAAAACTTCATGTAAAAGCACCCCGGGTTGCACACTAGCAAAAGCAATGTGTCAAAATGTCAGAGTCCTCTCACATTCTCACCAACTGTAGCATTTACCGCTGTGTCGATAAGAGGAAGTTGCATTTGAGGGTTTGAGGTCTTACCAACAGCAAATGCAGAAGACCATCTAGTTTGTAAGCAAAACACATAATCAGATCACAACTGAAAAACCTCATGAACATGTATTCAGGTCGTGTTATGAGTGTTGCATCACCTTTCTGAATTCTAGATGGAGCGAGATGCTTCACCTACAGGTTAGGGGTGTGCGATTTCACAATTTTTGATCATGGACTTGGTAAGATGGCGGCGCATTCACACACTGCAGCTTCTCTCTCCTGACAGAAAGGGGTTTTCGTGTTTTTTGTCTTGTGAGTCGCAGTGTTTTTGTACGTATTCGTCCCGTCTATCTGCCTCTAAGCGCGCATACAGTCGTGAGTTTCTGCTCGATATCGGCAGAACCACATTTTTAGAGTTAAACTCTACGCACGCCAAAGAGCTGTGGGATCTCGGTCTG